CCGGGCCGCTGTGAGAGCGGCGCGCTCATGCACAGTTTCGGCATCTTCCTGCAGGGGCTGCTCGGCGTCGTGGCCTTCAGCACGTTGATGCGTGAGTCCGAGACCCTCGCCCCTCCTGAGGCCCTGCGCCACGAGCCCGCGGGCCCTGCCCGGCCTCGGGGACCCTCCTCCCTGAGGAGTTCAGGCCTTGGGGACCCGGGCCCTTTGGCGGGAGGTGTCCTCCTCCCGCGAGCCCAGGCTGAGCATTTCCAGACGATGGGGAGCTCTGGCCCTCAACCCAGGATCCTGAGCCCCTCGCCTTATCGCTGCAGCCTCTAGCCAGGGGTCACCCATGTTCCGCTCCTACTACCCGCGCACACCTGTCTTCCGAGATTCCCTCCTCCAACCGTGTCATTGCGAATGAAAGCTACCTCACTTTCCAGCTTGCGGCCATGACCCCCCCGGTGGCATATTCCCTTCTGCCAGATCTTAAAGGCTCTTCTTAGCCTCCACTTCGCAATTTGAATCCGCATCCCTAAATGCCCAGTCTGATACTGAGCTTTTTTCTTCACCTTCACTCCTCCAAGATTTACTCCCGTTCTCATGTAAAGCCTGCCACCTTGCAGTATGTGGCTTATTAGGCCGTGCATTCGGTTCCCAGTACTATCCCCACTCTCGACATCGCAACCCCGACCCCTCCCGCCCCGTCCCTTCTCAGTTTAATTTTCTGTTTTGGTGGAGCAGGACCCACCCAGACTGCCTTCTTCCCCACATCTCCGTTTTCCTCTCCTCTTCCTAAACAGGCCCACCTGTTCCGTCTCTGTCCCAAGCTTTCCTAATTAAGTTGTATCTAGTCTCCCCTGCAAGTTTCCTTTCCCAACCCCTCCCCCTCCCCCCCAATCACTTTTATTTGTATTTCAAGTATCCTTCCTTTCCATGAGACTTGGGCAATTTAGGAGCTTAAAGGAGAAGGAGACTCAGAGTCCGAAGAGGTCTCAGAATCCTTGTGTTAAGTCACCAGTGACCCTTCCTTGAGAGTTTCATGATGAGGAAGAAAGCCCCAGATGGCCCTTCTGGAAAACCAGAAGTTCCAGTGTGTTATATATGCCACATGGTGAGGGGTTATGTTGTTTTCTTAGTGCATCCTTCCCTTTATTAGAAGTAACAAGAAATTTCGGTTGGCTTTTAGGCCTAGTGCCCCTGTGATTGCATTTTAGGGGAAGGAAGGGTTATAACTATTTTCACAGAAGCATTAATTCCAAAATGACAAGTTCTCAAAACTTCCCCACTGTGCTCACATGGGCAGAGTGGGAAGTTCCTGCAGGAAGTATGCTTCTTGGCATTTGTGAAGGATCCTGCAGCTGAGTGCATGTGTCTTGTAGGGTCCAGTAGCTGGAGTTACAACTTTGCTTGTTTATGATGTGGGACTTGTTTGGTCAATTCTCCCAGGCTTTAGGTAACCCCAAAGAAGCTATTATTGGACACCACTTTTTTTCTGGTTGCCTGGCCTTCAGAAGTCTTGTAACAGGTCCCAGGCTGTATATGTTTGCTACTTTTTCTCTCCTTTTCAGTCTTTATTTGCCTTGATATTTTCCCTGCTGAACAAATACTCACTTGTTCCCACAGTAATAATTTGTGCCAGCTTAGCCAAATTCAGCTGCTGATTTGGGTGCATGAACTGTATGTGTGTGTTTTCGAGACATTGTGCGTGGGTCTGCACTCCCCTCCCCACTTCTCTCTCCTCCAGCTGGCCTTCCTTTCTCTCTGAATGAACTCTAGGTTTAGTTTTTATCTGTTCCCTAACTTAGGATTTCTTAGCATAGCCCTGGCTGTTTTCATGGGTTTGATGCTGATGGCCCAACTTATTCCCTAGGGCTTGATAGGTGTGATTCACAGAAGCAAATGTGATTATGACGGGGCAGAGTTGCTCACAGCTGAGAAGTGTGCTGAGTTGAATGTGTTCAGAGTGACGGTGCTAGTCCTGACAGTCTTCAGGGACAATCCCTTTAATCTTCAGTGAGAGCACAAATGCAAATCTTGCTGTGGTCAGTATTTTCTGTATGCAAAGACAGGACTAGGAAGTGGTCTCTTGCTCAGTGTAAGGCTAGATGTGGAGGGAACTTGTGGCGATGGGTAGTAGGTCCTGGGACAGTGATGAATAGGGGTGTTGGGGAGGAGAGTTGGAAAGGCTAGAACTATGCCTGCCCTGGACACTGACATGGGGTTGAGCCCTATTCCCCCACCTAGGAGCAGACAGCAGGTCAGGGAGAATCCCACTAACTGGGATCCTTTCTTATCTCTTAAACTTGTTCTGATGAAGTAGGACAGTGGGGCTTTTCCATTTTGCACTGCTGGGAAGAAGAGAAAATCTCTAAGGAGCTGCTTTACATTTTGGAATGGACTTTGCTCGGGAAAGGGAAGAGGATGGAGGTGGTCTCCAGGAAGTGTACCTGCAAGCTGTTTGGCTTTGTCTGGGCTTTTGGTCTTCCCAGTCACAGCACCTGTTCCTCAGTCTGGTAGAGCTGCTGTCAGGAGTGCCAGGCTCCCAGACAAGACTGTTCACTTGTAGCCCTTGAGGGAAGTCTGGGTTTGTTAAAGTTAGGCCACTCCAACCGTTGTTAGTTTCATCAAGCATGTCTTAAATACCAGTCATCTCTCCTGAGCAGTTGAAACTAACAGTCCCTGTGTCCTCTTTGGAATCTCAGTCTTTTCCCTTCCAGGCATTTTCGTTCCCCTGGGCAGTGGGCTCGGACACTTCCGACACTCAGTTTTGAAAACAGCAGATACTGTTCTGTTTTCCTGTTGGACCAGCTCTGTTCTGTAAGATAGACCCATTTTTCTGCCAGACAGGCCGTGTAGTATTTATCATCACTTAACATCCTGATTTCGGTGAATCCTCAGATCTCTGCCTTTATGTTTCTTTTTCTACCCAAATAATCACTTTTTTCTCCATTTACAAGTTGCTGTGTTTTGTTTTTATTTTTTTATTGAAGTGTAGTTGATTTACAATGTTGTATTCATTTCTGTTGTACAAAGTTGCTGTGTTTTTCACCTGGAGATAAAGGCTCTTACACATCATATATCTCAGGAGAGGATTTTGATTCTCACAGGGTTTCTTATCCTGGCACTTGGTTCACTGTGTGTGGATTTTCAGATATCTCAGTCCAGGCAGTTGAGAGTTGGTATGCAGGTTGATATATCTAGCTGATTCTTTATGCTACATAAACATACAGACTATTACAGGCCACTGTCCGTGGGCATGTCCCAGTGTCAGCTTCACCTTGTTCAGGTGGTGAGCTTTCGAGAGGCTTCAGCTAAGGTACCCTTTGTGTGTAAGGAAAGCCCAAAAAAACCCAGAGGAAAGCTTATAAAGAGACTCTCCCCTCTGGGTTTTCTAGAATGTCATTTGAAAGGCATTGGGTGTCTGAGTAGAAAGAAATGCTTTAAGCAAGGGACCTTTGTCATGATCTCCGTGCCAAGCGGTTCTCTTGCTTTGGTGGCTTTATCAATAGTCTCTGACTCCACGAAGTCACAGCAGACAGAGCCAAGCTATCCTGGAGCTTGTAAACTGTTCCAGCGCTGGTCAGTGGCTCAGCCGTCAGCCAGAAGTCAGTGTTGGCCAGTATGTGTGCTGCCATTTGTGGTTGTTTACTCTGAGGACCTGTGAAGGCAAACTCAAGCCCCCTTCACCATGAACCATCAGTCCTGGGCTGAAGTGTGGACAGAATTGGCTTTTAACAAAACAAGCATTTTGAGAGCTCAGGATAAATCTACCTATCTATTTTCATGTTACCGATTTGAGGATTAGCCACCTGGGAGAAGGTGTCAGTGTTTTACAAGAGCACTGCTGTTCTTGAGAAATGATAGCTTTTTTCCTGAGGCCCCAAAGTAACATCACAAACCAGTCAACCCAGCTTTGAAACCTTAATCTCAAGTAAAAGTCCCTGCTGTTTTCTCCCGTGGTGAACTGGCCTCCCTGTGTGTTCTGCACAGACATGCTCTTGTTGGGACAGCCTTTCCTGGGATCACCTTTCTCCACCTCATCCCAGTTTTTATCTTTAAAAATGTCAGCAATACAGAAAAGCTGAAAAATAATGCAGTGAATACCTATCTGTCCTCCACCTAGATTCAGAAATTGTTCACATTTTGCCACATTTATCTCTGTATACTTTTTTGGGTGGGGACAGGGGGAGGCTGATTCATTTGAAAGTAAGTTGCAGCCAACATTACACTTTATCCCTAAAAACATCAGTTATCTCCTAAGAATAAGGACAGCTTTCTGCATAACCAGTTTTGTGATCACACCTAAGAAAATTTATAACTCTACAGTATCATTCCAATCCATATTCCCACTTCCCCAGATGTCACAGCAGTTTGTTTTTTTAAATATGCTCTGATCAAGGTCTACACGTTGCATTTGGTAATCTCTCCTAAACACACATGCAAACACACACTTTTTTTTTAAACACTGCCTTTTGAAGAGTCCTGGTCAGTTGTCATGTACAGTGTCCCACCTCCTGGAGCCGTCTGGGTGTTACCTTATGGCGTTTAGGTGGTTTCTCTGACCCCTGTACTTCCTGAGTTTGGTCTGGAGAAGCTGTTAGATTCTAATGACCTTTTTTTCACAGCGAGAGCACTCCGTGAGCTGCATTGTGTGCTTCGTATCACACTGCTCCAGGTGGCACGTGACATCAGGCAGTCCCACTATTAGTGATAATTAATAAGGCCGATTACTGGGCTGAGGAGGCAGGACTCCAACTCTCTCCCTTGTAAATGTACATTTTCCACTTTACAATTAATGATTATCTCTGTGGTGGTGATACTTTGAGATCTTGTCAACATCCTGTCCACCAGTAACTTTTCACTCCTGGTTAGCTAATGAGACCCAGTGATGGCTGAAATGGAGCTGGAGCTTGTGGGCCTGGCACTTAACACACACTTAATAAATGTCGCTTTCCTTTTCTGCCCACTGAGTGCCAGCCAAAACACAGGCAGAACATCCCTTTTCTGTCCCTGGCTGGTCTTGTGTCCACAGGGGAAAGGAATGTGGCCGACATTAGTCCAGTAGCTGGTTAGGGAGTTTTGAATTTTAGAAAGTTTTCAGGTTTTCTA